GAGCACGCGCGTGAGACCCCCCAGGTGAGCGTTTTCTTATTCGGCGTGTCGACATTGGGCGGAAAGGGGGGGAGGGGGGGGGTCTGGCTCCAGACCTCTGCTCAGTGCGACTATTTGCAGCAGTGCGGCCGATGGGGGAGGAACACCACCTGCTCGAAACAGGCGCCAAAAGCGGCCAAAATCTACTCCAGGGGAGGGGGAGGGAGGGGGTAGCGAGGGCCCGCGCCGATCGGCATCACAAAGCCGACCCTGGGGCGTCTGGGAAGCCCCTACGCGGCTGGATGCTGCCACCTGCGCGTCTCGCAACCTACGCGTCTGGCTGCTTGCGCTTGCCACGTACGCGTCTGCAAAGGAGCTGGCCCCGGGGTCCCGGCCGGCTGCGACCTCCTCCCGCACAGGCTGGCAAGTCTGCACCTCTGGCGGAGGTGCCCGGCCAGTGAATCTTCCCTCGCTCGAGCAGGCCGGCGCACCCTCGAGCCGACGCCCCGCCACAGCGGTGGGAAGAGGGACTCGCCGGAGCTGCTCGGCTGAGGTGGGCCAAACCACCCCTGCACCCCGAGGGTGCTCAGACGAAAAAAAAAAGAAATCGATCCACGGAGCCTGGGTCACCCAGGTGACGGCCGCGCCCTACAGGGCCATGCCTGCTCCAACGCCAGAACTGCTGCGTCCACGGCGATGCCACTGTCCTACCAATCCTCCCCCTCTCTCACTCCTCCCCGTGCACCCCTCTCAGCCTAGCGACGACCTGACCACCTCTCCGACGCATGCGACCATGCGTGAGACGCGGCCGAGCTGGAGCCGCTCGCTGCAACGAGCCCCCACTTCCACGGGGACACCTGACAAGAGCAATCGCTCATCGGCGCTTTGACCCAAGGCCGCGAACCTCGGGCTCGTTCGACACGGAGCACGCGCGTGAGACCCCCCAGGTGAGCGTTTTCTTATTCGGCGTGTCGACATTGGGCGGAAAGGGGGGGAGGGGGGGGGGTCTGGCTCCAGACCTCTGCTCAGTGCGACTATTTGCAGCAGTGCGGCCGATGGGGGAGGAACACCACCTGCTCGAAACAGGCGCCAAAAGCGGCCAAAATCTACTCCAGGGGAGGGGGAGGGAGGGGGTAGCGAGGGCCCGCGCCGATCGGCAAAACAATGAATCGAAAAACGATCACCAGCAAAAACGAAAAACTCTTGAGACCCGAGCGACGCCTTGTCGTAGGAGGGCAACTGGGAAGTGGGGTCGGCAGTTCCCGTCGTGAATTGTCGGGCAACGTTGCTGCTGCTAGGGGCACGAGAACAAACTCCAGTTCTCGCAGGCCAGCTCCAGAAGCACGGCTCTCCTGTAAGAACACAAAGCGGCTGACCAAGATATCTGCCATTGAAGCGAAGCAGATGTGCGACAGCGAGCACGAGTCCGCGAGCATGGCGTCAGTCACAAGCTCACGCTGGCATTGAACCCCCTACGTAGTGGGGCAAAGTGCCGCTGCATCGCGGTGCGCAGAACGAGCTATCAGCAATGCCGTCTGTCGGCTCATTGAGCCCGCGACTCTGATGAAAGCTGGTGAGCCCTTGGGAACATCGTGAATCCTGATCCTCCTCCTACGCGCTTTTTTCTTCATTGCCCAAGTAGCGCACACGAGGTCACACCCGGGGACGGGAGGGCGGGACAAGCGGCACCCCCTGTGACCCAAGCGACTGCGGAGAAGACAAGCGGAGCATGGGAGAGGCGAGACGGACTCATGCAAATGCGGAGGGAGGGGGGGCCTCCCGCTGTGCGGGCGGTTGCATGCATGCAAGGGCGGACGCGTGCATGGAAAAGCGGACGCATACAAGTACGCTTCACATGCGCGACTCCACGATTTCGTCTCCCTGTTCCAAGCGCCAACCGACCTGGTGGTGGCCAACCAAACCAACAAACCCTCGCCAACACGTGCGCCAACGAGGCAACCCGTCTAGCGGCGGCATGCCTGGGTCACCCGGGCCAGGATCAAACATCACAAAGGAGCGCGAGCTTTGAAAACTGGCAGTACAACGGAGCTGGACTCAGACACACTGGCATTGGGCGGCACAACTAGCAGCCGCTGGGTGTCATCCGCTGACGAGATGCTATGGCCGCTGGCTGGTCCAAGAGGTCCAGTGAAGCAAGTCACTGTTGATCTACGAATTAGTTAACAGGGATCGTAAGACTCGGTCGAGGCAAGCTCACCATTACAGCCAGCTGGCAATGAGCCAAGGCGTGATGGCTACACTGAGAAGCCATTTGAGGCTGTCGTGGCCTAGGGGAGCAGGCCGCCGTCCAGGCCGCGTAAGTGGCTTGCTCCCGCTGCGCCAGCTGAGCAACAATTCGGGGATGTGCAATGATCGGGAAAATGAAATAACGAGGGCAAGGAGAAGCCAGACTCTGATGAGACGGCGAATGAGGCAGAATGAGACGGGACGTTCGGGATGGAGATGGCGTCTGCGCTCACATGCAGCGGTCTCTCGTTGCACATAATGCGATGTTCGCCGCTTTCCGCCAACCCTTGCTGGTTCTAGAAAGCTGGTCAAACTCGCGGCACTCTCGGGTGGGCTGCGGAAACGGAATGCGCACGCCGTCCTTCAATATGATCGGCTTGTATTCATCGGGTACCGATGGGTCCATGATGTTGCTGTTCTTGTAGCGGTTGATGTTGGACTGCAAAGCCTGTGTTTCGCTCCAGCATACCTGGCACTCCTTCCAGCAAAACTGACATTGCCAATCGCAGAAACCGCCGAACGTTTCGAAGAAAGATTTCACGTAACTTGGGCTGGTCAGGTTAACAAAAGAGTAGCCGCGGGTATGAGTAGTCTCAAAGTCGATCGGGATGGCCGCCAGCCCCTTCTGGGGGCGCCAGGCTACGAACACCCTGCTGGGCTTGTGTCTTACCGGTGCCGCACGTCTTCTGTCTTGTCATGCTTCCTGTCTCTGATCCCTCCAGCCATGTCTCCTGCATGCTGTCTACAAACTGCTGGGTTGTGCTTTGTCCAATTTCCGGGCTCAGCCCCCATGGCCGTTCGGGTGCCACAAGACAAACCCTGAGAGAGCCCCAAGATGGACAGAGAGTGGACCAACAGCGGGGACCAGAGAGAGGCAGGCACCAGGATGGCCGCGAGACGCCCCTAGGATGTCTCAATATGACCCACATGTGTCCCAAGATGGTCCAAGACAACATCCAAGAAACCTCCAGGTAGCTAGAAATGGTCAAAGACGACCCCCCAGGAAACCGTCGGAGGCCCCCATGAGGTTTCCAGAAGCCTCTCAAAACCCCCGAGGAGTCCCCAAGATGATCCGACTGCCCACGAAGGTTTCTCAGCAAGTGCTTGTACTTTTCTAAACATACCTGAAGAATTGAACCTGACGGGCGGGCTGGCGGCGTCGCCGGCGTCGCCAGCCCATCGCCGCCCCGTCGCTGCCGTCGCCGCGCGTCGCCGACGTTAGATTGAACCACAGAGATTGCTTCGCATTGCTTTGCGTTGCGATTATTTTGCGCTGCTTGGCATTGCATTCAATTGCAGTGCATGGCATTGCGTTGCGTTGATTCGAACTGCTTTGCGCTGCAGTGCGTTGCTTCGCGCTGCTTTGCGTCACGGTGCGCAGTTTTGCGGCGCTTTTGCACGGAAATGCCCCCCGAGGCACCGAGGGCGGGGAACCCGAGAGCCATGGGAATCTCCGGGGAACGGGCAAAGCAGCACCTCGAGACACCATTCTTCCTGACCAGGTGGGAACCCACCAGGCCAACGGAATTGGGAAATGAACTCAGATCTACCTCCCCCCCCTGGTTTTATCGACCCTCCCTCGGATAATTCGATTGACATGCGACTCTGCCCCACCGTTTATTCGAGACATGAGTCCGTACAATCCCACGAAGTGTCGTGCCTACTAATACTATGCGCGCGCACTCGCTTATCACACATCACCAGCTCTCAACCATAGATTGCAACAGACAAGGCCACGCGACACGCGCGCGTCGACGCGCGCATGGTGAACTTCCTCCATGGTTTCCAAAAGCGTTCGCATTTTTGTGAATTTCCACGATTTGTCTTCCAACGCGGTCACCAAATGCGACCACGCGGGGTTATCGCGTGAACGTTTCGGAGTCGTGCAAACTCCCCTAGCGCGCTTGCGGAAAGGAGGGGGGAACGATCCCGGTCAACAGAAACACCATGCGGGCCATTCGCGCCCGTCGGCTTCGCGCGCATGTTGAAATCCTTCCAGAACCCGCGTCGCAGACACGTGGGCGCAATCATCGTCACCCGCGCGATCAGCATCGGCAACGTCATTGGCCTTGACGCCGTCATCGCCATCATCGCCACCAACATCCCAACTGTCGTCATCGTGTCTGCCGTTGTCGACGTCGCCATGATTCAGCGCCTGCCCGAAGCGCGGACTCGCGCAGAGGTGCCCCCGGGTGGGCGCGGAAGTCTCCCCAATGGTTAGCGCCACCGCGGCCGCGTCGGTCGCGCCAGACTACAGTCGGGGCATTGACCTGAGGAACCCTAAATAAGGAACGAAGCCCCTTTTTCCCATCAATTAAAGTTCGACATCCCATCGAAAACCGCAGGAAAACCTGAGGCAAGCAGTGAAACACTTAAGGAACGCGGAGCCCCTCCCCAACCAGAAGGGTTCCTTCTTCAGGGCCCCGACTGTAGCTGGCCGCTCTGCGCGGCGGCCTACGCGCGCCAACGCGACCGCAGCGAAGCGCCAGCCCACGCCAAGCACTCATCGCAATCGCCGCCACACGGTTCTGCAAACGAACTTGCGGGTGTGCGGGTGGGGTGATTACGCTGGCGGTGGGGTTGACAACGCATGAATGAGCATTTCCGAATTGTACCACGAAAGCTGCCCGTTCTGGAGAAGACTATACACTCTACGCAACCCTGGCGTATCGCCCCCCCCTGGGGCACTGCAGTTTGCACGCGACTCCGCCCAATCGGTCATTCTACATGCGAACCTCATACAATCCCAAGGAATGCAGTTATCCCCACCCCCGTCTCGGTCAAATCATGCTATGTGCGCGCACTCGTTCGTCCACAGATCGAGCGCCCCTGCGCTCTCGTCGAGGGGCACGACGCCTGCCAAAGAGTACCGTTCGGGCCACTCGCCCGCGTCGGGCGCGCTGGCATGTCGAAATCCTTCCCAAACCTTCGTCACCGCGACGTGGACACCATCATCGCCATTGGCTTGACCAACATTGGCGCCGTCATTGGTCTCTCCGCCGGCATCACCACCGTCGCTACTACTGGGTAGTCGAAGCCAATCCGGCGCCAATCTGGCAGGCCCAATCCGGCAAACGGGGGCAATCTGGCGAGGGAGCCAACGCGAATCCAGTCTGGCGGATAACCCAAATCCTCCAATATGGCCAGGCCAGATTGGCCCTTGGGGCCCAATCCAGTCTGACAGTCTGGCCTTCGACTACCCAGATTGCTCTCTCCGCCAGCATCACCACCATCGCTACTACCACCACCGCGTCTGGCGGCATCGACGTCATCATGATATCGCGCCCGCCCGGGTGACCGCCTCGCGCAGGAGTGCCCGCGCGCCAGCGCGGCCGCTCTGCGCGCCGGCGTCGGTGCGGCCGCAGAGAAGCGCCAGCCAGCGCCGAGCAGTCATCGCAATCTCCGCCGCATGGGTCGGCATCCTGGGTAGTCGAAGCCAATCTGGCGCCAATCTGGCAGGCCCAATCTGGCAAACGGGGGCAATCTGGCGAGGGAGCCAACGCGAATCCAGTCTGGCGAATAACCCAAATCCTCCAATATGGCCAGGCCAGATTGGCCCTTGGGGCCCAATCCAGTCTGACAGTCTGGCCTTCGACTACCCAGACATCCTCATCGTCCACGTCACCGTTGTATGGAGAGGTTGTGTTATTTGTTGGCCAGCCAAGCTACAAGCGGGTGAGTGGATGGGTGGGATGCTTGCACGGGCGTGGGAAACGGTCGCGCGCGATGCAGTATAGTTGCCCGCACAACGTAGTGCTCCACTTTGACTTCATGACGCATGCTGCTATAAACACACTGCGCGGGGGCCTCGCTAGGAACAAATCCCCGATGAGTCCCCCAAAATGTTCTGACAGTCCACGAACGCTTTTCTTCAATAGACTCAAGTCCTTTCGGGCCTCGATGGCGAGACTTGGGTGGGAGCGTGCCGATTTGACTGTTGCGTTCAATCTAGCAAGCCACTGCCTCTCCCCCAAGCGAGTTTCACACGACAGATCGGGGAAAGTAACACCAACCAACAGCTTCTCAATGCCCACGAGCACTCAGGCAAATGGCAGGGACGATGCCAATATGGGACGGGAAGACGCGCGAAGGGGTCCGCCGCCCCGACGGGTGTGGCGCGTGAGATCCCCGCAGCACGGTCTGCAAGACACATTGATGTTCCCCGCAGAAAGGTTTTGAAAGGATCGCACGACTACCTCTGTGGCTCCGATTTGGCTCCCCTGCTGAGCAATGGCCCCAGCACTTCGGAGCGACTCCAGTGCGACCCTGCGGCCCAGAGAGAACACCGAGACGAACCCGCAGACGTCTGACCGAACTAAGGTTGCCGCTTCGCCGCGACTTGACTCCGAGGTGGCCTCGGTACGACCCCAGACGCCCGAGGCGATTTCAAGATTGCCTCCAGATTCCGCGTGAACCGAAGATGACCCCGAGCTTGCCCCAGTGTGGCTCCAGTTTGACTCCGATGCGTTTCTCCCTTCTGCCCTGGTTCTTGGCTTGGGCCGATCGGATCGGACGGATGGGGGTGCTGGCCCTCCACTCTCTCGTCGTAGTCCTCTTCTTCCTCCTCCGCCCTGGTCCTCGCCGCATGCATGAATATACGCGCGCCTTTCGCGCGCGCTCAGGTTCTAGCTCAGGCAGGGAGGGCGCTGGAAGATCTTGGACAGCGCTATCAAGCTCAGGCGCGTGACATAGTCGTGCCTCCTCAGGGCCTCTTGAAAACCTCTTGGGTCTTCGTGGGGGCATCTGGAAAGCTTCTGGAGGGTTCTCCGTGCTTCCTCAGTTGGCGGTTGGAGGCACCTCTTGGGTGCTTCTTGGGGGGGCGTCTTGGGGCTTCTTGGGGTTCCTTGGGGGCATCGTCGTGGTTCTCTGGGCAATCGGAAGGTGATGTTCTGCAATCTGAAGCCGTCATTGGCCGTCGTGGCTGCGTGGAAACCCGACGTAAGGTCACATGGGGCCACACATTGAGGCAATCTGGAAGCCTCCCGGGGGCCTCCTGGAGGCAATTTGATGCATCGAGGGCACTGTTCGGATATCTTGGGGCCCGTTGTACGTCTCCTGGGGGCCATTTGGGGCCTCTTGGGACGCTTTTGAGGGCCTCGTCGGACCACTTGGGGACTCTTGGGGCCTCCCGTGTGCCTCTGAGGGCGGAAGGCTCTGCTGTTGGGTTCGCGTTCCCCTTCTTGGGCCTCTCTTGGGGCCGTCTTGGGGCCCTCGGGCCGTCTTGGGCGCCTCAAGCACCCTCTTGGGGCCCCCGTGGGCCGTCTTGGAACCCTGTTGGAGGCCTCTTGGGCTATCTTGGAACGGTCTTGGAGGCCTCTTGGGCCATCTTGGAGCGTCGGGATGCCAAAAGCAGAATAATCTAACTTCCATCAAAAACCGATGGGAAAACAATGAGTTGTGCCTCTTCGGGCCTTCTTTGGAGGCCTCTTGGAACCTCTTCGGCCCTCTCGGGAGCTTCTTGAGGTCCTCTTGGACCCTATTGGGGGCCTCTTGGGGCTTCATGAGGGCTTCTCGGGGTGGAAAGTTCCGATTTTCGGTTCGTCTCACCCCTCTTGGGCCCCTCTTGGGGCCGTCTTGGTGCCCTCTCGGGCCGTCTTGGGCGCCTCAGGTGCCCTCTTGGGTTTGGGCCATCTTGGAGAGTCGAGACGACCAAAGGCTGAAACCTTGAAAACCAATAAAAAAATTAAGGAGAGACATTGGATTGCCTCTTGGGGCCTTCGTGGGAGGCCTCTAGGAACCTCTTCGGCCCCTGGGGAGCTTCTTGGGGCCTGTTGGGGCCTGTTGGTGGCTTCTCGGAGCCTCCTGAGAGCCTCTCGGGGTAGCAGTCCCGGATGTTCGGTTCGTGTTACCCCTCTTTGCTCCCTCTTGGGGCCTTCTCGGGCTGTCTTGGGCGCCTCTGGCGCCGTCTTGGGGCCCTCTTAGGCTGTCTTGTGGCAATCTTCGGGACCTCTGGGGCTGTCTTGGAGCGAACATTGGGGCCTCTTGGGCCGTCGTGGAGCGTCGGGAAACTGAAAAGGCGAGAACTCGAAGATCCTTCGAAAACCAAGGAACATAAGTCATTTGTGCCTCCTGGGGCTCCTTGGGAGGCATCTTCGAGGCCTCTTGGGGCGTCTTGGAGGGCTCTTGGACAGCAAGGGGCTACTTCTGGGGTGATCTTTGGCCCTCATTGGTCGTTCTCGCTGTCTGGAAGCGCCACGTTCTGGCGATCCAGGGCCGTCTTCGGGCGATGTTGAATGGGGCCCTGGGACACACAAATAAATACAGACAAGTAACAGGATTCCCCATGCTTTCCTATATTTTCTGGGTGTTTGTCTTCCCCCCCACTTCCCATAGTTTCCCATATTGTCTGGGGAATCGTCGATTCATTGTGTCTGTGTGTTCTTGTTCCCTCCTGAGATGTAGAAACGCCCGCGGCGCCACTGGCCATCGCTCGGACGTCCATTCCCCGTGTTTTTCCGGCTTCGTGCGTGTTTTTTTTTTTTGCCAAATGATCAAGGATGCTCCTCGATGGCCCTCGCCGAAGGAGAAATGCACACGTCCGAGCGATGCCAAGCGCCACGGCAGGCCCCCCCGGGGCCCCCGGTCCGAAGGCTCCGTCCCGCGCCCCGCCTCGTGCCCGCGGCAGGGCGTGCCAGCGCCGTCGCGGCGCCCTCGTGGGCGCCTCGCTGGGGCGAGGTCGGGGTGCCTGGGGCCGTCTTGGAGCGTCGGGGCGCTGAGCACGTCCGAGCGATGCCAAGTTTCCGGGTGGCCCGCAGGGGGGGCAGGGCCCTCCGCGGGGCCCTCTGGGAGCCGACGCGCGGCCCCACCGACGTGCGGCGCGAACTCGTTCCATACACCCTCGTGGGCGCCTCGCTGGGGCGAGGTCTGGGTGCCTGGGGCCGTCTCGGAGCGTCGGGGCGCTGAGCAGGCAGAACTGGTGAAAAATCCACGGAAAGCCACGAAAGGGAAACGAAGGGCTGTGGCTTCCTGGGGCTCTTGGAGGAGAGAGCTCTTGGAGACACCTTGGGCCGTGTTGGAAACCTGCTGGGCCGTCTGGAAGCCATCTGGGGCATGCTCGACCGACGGGTCTGCGCTGCGGGGCCTCTCGGAGGCCCCTTGCGGCCCTTTCCATCTGTGTTGGAGCTGCCTTGGGCCGTCTGGGGGCGGTCCTGGGCCGTCTCGGCGTCCTCGCGGGAGCGTGTTTGGACAATGTTTCGGTACCCCGGACCGTCCTGGAGCGTCGAGAAGCGGAACAGGCGCAATCTCTACAATGTATCAAACAAAACTAAGTAAAATCCATGACTGTGGGGTCCTCCTGGGAGTGCTCTTGGAACCCCCTTGGGCCGTGTTGGAAGCCTTGTGGGCCATGTGGAGGCCATCTTTGGCGCGTTAGAACGATATCTCGGTGACTGTAACCCTCTTGGAGGCCTCTCGCGGCCCTTTTCATGTGTGTTGGGGCTGTCTTGAGCCGTTTTTGGGCATCCCTGGGCCGTCTCGGCGCCCTCGTGGGTGAATGCTGGGGCAATATTTGATTGTCCAGGACCGTCTTGGAGATTCGGGACGCTGAACAAGCAGAAACGCTGAAATGAACAACAAAAACAAAACAGAGTCGATGATGTTGGCTCCTTGGGGTCCTTAGAGGAGTGCTTTTGGGGGACCCATTGGGCCGTATTGAAAGCCTTGTGGGCCATCTGGAGGTCGTCTTGGGCGTATTCGAGCTGTACGTCCGCGTTTCGGGGCCTCTTGGAGGCCTCTTGCGGCCCTTTAAAAGGGCCCCAGAACACACAAATAAATACACACAAATAAACCAATTCCTTATATTTTCTAATATTTTCTCGGTTTTTGTCTTCCCGCCCACTTCCCATATTTTCCCATATTTTCTGGGGAATCCAGGATTAATTGTGTCTGTGTGTTTCTTTTCCTCCTGACCCCTTTCATCTGTGCTGGAGCTGTCTTGGGCCGTCTGTGGGCGGCCCTGGGCCGTCTCGGCGCCTTTGTGGAAACCTATTTGGACGAGTTTCGGGTGTGCTGGACCGTCTTGGAGCGTCGGGACGCTGAACAGGCAGAAACGCTAGAATGTGGCAAAAGCCAAATGCAAATCAGATTTTGGCTTCTTGGGGCCCATTTGTGAAGGGGCCCCAGGACACACAAATAAAACGATTCCCCATATTTTTTTATATTTTCTGGGTTTCTGTCTTCCCCCCCACTTCCCATATTTTCCCCTGTTTTCTTGGGAATCGAAGATTGATTGTGTCTGTGTGTTTCTTTTCCTCCTGAATTTGGGAATGCTCTTGGGGACCTCTTGGGCCGTGTTGGGAGGCTTGCGGGCCATCCGGAGGCCATCTTGGGCGCGCTAGAACGATAGTTCCGCGAACTAGGGCTCCCAAGTTCGCGCTTCGCGCTGCGCGAAGCGCGAATAACTTCGCGCTCTCGCGCCGCCCCCCAAGGGGGAGAAGAGGAGGACGAGGAGGAGGAGGAGAAGGAACGAGGACCGCGAAGCGCGAAGCGCGAATAACTTCGCGCCCTCGAGGGAGCCCTTGGCGAATGTAGGCCTGTTGGAGGCCTCTCGTGGCTCTGTTCATCTGTGTCGGGGCTGTGTTGAACCGTCGGGGGGCGTCCCTGGCGGACGGTCCCCCCATGGAGTGTCAGAGGCCCCCTCCCAGGCCCCCCCGCCTCGTGGCAAGGTAAATTTTTAGATCTAATTAGTTACCTGGTTATCTATGAATATTCGTATACATATACATATTTGACTGACTGTGTATATATATATATATATACACAGCCTATGGCGCAGGAACCGGGCGAACTGTGACTCCAAGATGTCACAAAATGGCCTCACGACAACCTCCCAGCGGTCGCAGCGTAGCTCCAATGCTGCCCGAGATGCTCGCACGGTGACAGCAGGATGCAGTAGGTCGGCACTGAGACGCCTTCAAGAGCCCCAGCATGGCCCCAGAGGCCACATCGCAACCCCACGATTGCCCAAGGTTCTTCCATGTATGGCCCAGCAGAGCCGCAGGAAAACCCCGGAGTGGCCTCCAGACGATGCCGCGACGGATCGGCGGGGAAAGACCGGCGGCGGAGGGCGCGCAGCACTCCAGATACACGAAGTCGTACTTCGCCGCGAAGCCCTTCGAGTCCAGCAGCGCAAGCAGCTTCTCGCGCGTCCACATGTAGGGCACGTTCCGCATCATCACGGTCGTGCGCGTCTCTGGCGCGCTGCAGGCGTCGTTCGTCTGGTGCGCGTTCAACAGCCGCTCGCCGTCGCGACCGAAAGCCCAAGTGCCAGAGCTCCGCTGCAACAAGGTCCCGGCCACGGAGGCACCCGCGGCGAAGAACGGCGCTGCTTTGGTGCTGAGAGGCGTGCGGGTGCCGTGGACCGCCCGATCCGAGGCCGCCGGCATCTTGAGCGGCAGCGTGTCGAAGGGCGCCTCGAAAGGCAACCCGAGCGGCGTGCCAGCGGCAGCCGGCGAGTGCTGGTGCGATCTGGTCGGGGAGGGCCCGCCAGCATCGAGCCCGGCCAGGATGGCCGAGAGGCCATCGTCGCTCGAGGACCTGACCTAGGGGAACAAGAAGTGGCATAAGCACAAAAAGCTCGGAGGCCCGCGCGGATTCCTCGCATCGGCGCTGGGGTCCCCCGGCGGCGCCTCCGGCGCCGCCCCTGGCGCGCCCCGCGCGCCAGGGAGGGGGGTCCAGCGCCGATCCGAGAAATCCGCGCGCACCTCCGAGTTCTCATGTTTGTGCCACTTCTTGTTCCCCCAAGGATGGCCGAGAGACCATCGCCGCTCGAGGACCTGAGCGAGTCGTCGGGGAGGAGGGCGTCGAGCTCCAGCATGTCCGCCCACGCGAGGGCGGGGCAGCCGGACTGGCTCGGCACCGCGGGCCCCGGGCACAGCACCGGCGCCGACTGCGCGCGCCGGAGGCCGCCGCGGCACTGCGCGCCGGGCCCTGCGCCGCAGCCCGACGTCAGAAGCGGGCGATGCTCTGCAGAGGCAGCACTGGCGATCGCCGGCGCCATCACGGTGCAAAGTTGAATGGTCTGCCGGCGAGCGAGGGGGGGGAAGTGAGAAGGAGAAGAGCTTCTCAGAGGGCGGCGGGGCTTCTCAGAAGCCCTCGCGCCTTCTGAGAAGTCTTCTGTGTCTTCGGGGAAAGCCCAGAAAACGTCTCAAAGGTCGCGGGACTTCCGAACCTTCTGAAGACCCGCCCCTTCTCATTTCCCCCCCTTCGCTCTTCACCGAATGGTGAGTAGGAGTTCAGCTTCGCAGCCGAACTTGAGTTGTGGTAGAGGATGAGGCGGCAAGTGGCCCTCGAGAGACAATGTATGGGATGAGCCGAGCTGGCTGCGAAGGCACCCCATCCGCACGTTGACCGCGAATCCAAAGCGGGAGGCAGACACTTAGACCACATGGCGAGAGGAGGCGGGGCACGATAGGGAGCTGGATGAGCAGGATGAGCGCGAGGCACAGGAGGCGTACGATGACGATGACGGGAGGCAGGATGAGAAAGGAACGAGGATCCAAGCAAGGTCCAAGCGGGGAGGGGGAGACGAGGGAGGGAACAAGTCCGCCGATCCCAGCTTGCAAGGGGTGAAAATGCGTGTGAGATGGTCAGGTCTAGGTCGGGCCTTTCCCCCTGCAGGCAGATGTTGAAGGAAAGATATAACATCCTCCAAAAATACCTCCAATGTATTCAAACATTGTCCAACATATCGTCCCCAGACTATTCTTTTTACTACTTTTGAATGTTCCCCCTGTAGAGGGACAGGCCCGACTCAAGGTTGGGTGTCCCCTCCCCCTTGCCCTCTCCTCTGGGGTCCAAAGTCCCGTTCTTGAGCCCGCCCACGCACCTCTGGGGGCCTTCGAAGCTTCCAAGAACCACACACCCTGTGGCCTCCAGGATGGCCAAGTTTCTCTGGCGAATGGCTCAAAGAGGGCCCAAAACACACCGAGGAAGCGTCAAAGACACTTAACATTGCCTCAAGACGGCCCACGAGGTCCCCACGAAGCTCCAAGAGGACTGCAAGAGGGCTTCGTAGAAGGCCTCCAGAAGCAACAAGCTGTAGTTCTCCTTGGGATGATCATGATTTCCGCATTCTCGCATTGTCGGGCCCTCAACAACCGAACGACGGTCCGAGGAGCTCCCCAGACCAGCTAAAGACTGTCCCAGAGGCTCCCAAGAGGACCCCAGGAGACGGCCCAAGTAGATCCCAAGACGGCAAAAGAGGCCCCCCAGACGGCCAAGAGGCCCCCAAGAGCATCCCAAGAAGGGCGCAGCAGAGAAAACTCGAACAGGCCTAAGGAGCCCTCCCCCACAAGATAGCCTCCAAGACCTCGAAGATGCCCCACAGAAGCTCTCAGAGGGCCCTCAGTGGCCCCCAGGCGCCTTCAACAGGCTCCCAAGAGCCCCTCCCGAGGCTCTCCAAAAGCCTTGTTGTAGCAGACCCCCCCAACAAAATCCCGAATGCCTCGTCCAAAACATGCCTCCAAGATGCCCAGAACAGGCTCCAAGAGACTTTCCAAAGACCTCGTCGTCGTCGTGTTCCTCCACCTCTTCTTCCTCCTCCACATCTTCCTCCCCCTCCCCCCGTTTCCTTCCAATCTTCCTCCTCCTCCTCCTCCTCCTCCTCCTCTTTGCCCCTTTCTAATATCCCATGCCAACAGGCCCCACGTTCGCCAAGAACGGCCTCAACTGTCCAAGATGCCTTTTCATCTTCCCCCGCCTCCCCCTCACTTTCTCCGATCCTATGGCCCACTGGTGGTCAGGATGCTTTGATACTTAGTTAGCACTCAGCACTTGCGGATAAGAGTGAGGGGGCGGGCGCGGTCGACGCGGCCGTCGAGGCGGCGGACTTCCTGGCCCTCGCCTTCGCCTAGTCCTCGGCCTCCTCGCTTGTTTACGTTTGCTCTCCCTCGTCCTCCTCATGCTCGTCCTCCTCCTTCTCGTCCACACTTCTTCTCCTTACAAGCAACTCCTCCCTGTCGCACCCCGCGGCCAGTCGGAAGGGTGGGCCGGGCGTTTCGCCTGAGACTTCCTCAACACGTATGACCATGAAGCTTAAACATTGGCAACAATGTCACAGGCGGAGGGCGGGTGGTGTTCAAACTGTGGCTCTCGCTTTAGCGTCGCGCACATCCATCTTGGAGGAGAATGGGTCGGTTTCAAAATGTGGCTCGCGCCTTAGCGCCGCGCTCATCCGTCTTAAAATCAAAGAGCTTCACGGGTTGAAGGCGGGTATTCGCGGTGTTGGTCTTCTGACGCGATTCAGGATCGTCAAGACGTACAATCAGGTTGATGAATGGCGTTGAAGCTCCGACAAGTCTTGCTTGACGGTCCCGGGGCCCGGCAAGGGCCCCCGGAGGCCGAAACTAGAGAAACACCTCCCGTCGTGACTTTTTCTTTGGACCGCGAGGGGGTCTGGGCAGGGCCTTCCGAACCGAAGAAGAGCCGACGGCCAGCGGCCCAGGCGCGCCGGCCGAGGCGCGCTGCCCGAGCCTTAGGTCCAAAATAATAAACTATCCAAAAATAAACCCACATGGCCGACTATTATTATTATTATTGCTACTATTATTATTATTCTTTTCATTATTATTATTATCTTGAATGTTGTTTCCTGTTCTTGTTGCTAATACAAAACAGCACTAATTTTGAATTTGCCTCCTGTAGAGGGACAAGCCCGACTTAAGCCGAGCCCGCGAGAGCGCCCAGCGGCAGGGCGGGCCTGCCGCGCGGCCCGGCGGCGTGCCCGGCGGCGCGCTTGCCTGCGCGAGGCGGGGCCGGCGGCCCGCGGCGGGCGGATGCGCGTCGGCCCGGATCGTTTTTTTGTATTGTTACTGAGCTGTTGGTTCCTCCCCTCGCGTGGCATCACTGCCGAATGAAGTCGTTAACTCCTCTGGTTTGTCTTCGTCGCCAGAGGAGGAGCTGAAAGCGCGTGATGCATGACAATTTTATATATATATATATGTATATATACAGATATATATTGATGTATATACATACACACATATATATATATACACGTGTATATATACATATATATATATATATGATTCCCGGGTGTTGCTAGGAGGTGCCCCTGTCCCAAGGTGTCTGGGGGTACCTTGGGCCAAGGGTACTTCTAACGACACCTGATCCTTGGATGTGAAAGCTACGCGTCGGCCCAGCTCGGGAAGCCCTCGAGGATCAAGGCTCGATCGAGGAGCGAGGGGCGAGGAGCGATCGAGGGTAGCTATCGGGGCGGCGTCGGCCCCGAGATCGAGGATCGAGGGATCGGTGGAGCATCGCTGGGCCCCTCGATCGGTCGAGGGTCGATGGACTGCATCGAAGATCTAGGATCGAGCGAGGATATGGGAAAATCCATCGAGGAGCGACGATCGAGGATCGACATCGAGGATCGAGGGTCGAGGATCAGTCGAGGTTCGAGGGAGGGGTCTCGTTCGGCGCGAAGCAACGGGGGGCGAGTAAAACGGGAGGGAAGCCCGATGCACTTCTTTTCGGGCCCCCCCCAAGACCCCCTTCTTGAGCCCGAAGGGGCCCCTCCAGGGGCCCAGGGCCCATTTCCGGCAACCCTCGCTGCCCCCACTTCTTTTGGTGGGCCCGCTTTCCACCACCACCACCATGAGTTGGAGGGGAAGGGGGTTCTCGTCCTCCTCCTCCTCATTCTCCTCTTCTTCCTTCTCCTCATCCTCCTCCTTTCCCCCTCCAACTTATGGTGGTGGTGGCGGAAAACAGGCCCATCATCTTTCCCCCACTACGCGCCCCCCAAGACTGACTGTCGGCGGCCAGTCCGGGGGGGGAGGGAGAGAGGGGGCGGGCCTTTTCAGAACGCCCGGAAATCCTGTGCGGCCTTCTGAGATCATGCTTCTGTTGACCGTACGCGCAAGAGCCTGAGAGAGATACGGATACCGCTCCGTCGAGAACAAGCGCGTGAAGGAGAGATACCTTTCGAAACGTTGTGATCGAAATGGTGTGCTCGAGAATGCTGCGCCAGAGCGGGAACGGTCTTCTGCGAAGTGTCCTGGGCCTTCCCCGGAGACACGGGAAACTTCTCAGAAGGCTCGAGGGCTTCCGAGAAACCCCGCTTCCTGCGCGGTGGCGGCGGCCCGCGGCAAGCGGATCCGCGTCGGCCTTGGTCCCAGCACACCTTGGGTCATGAAGAGATCATGACGGGGGAGTTGTTGCTATTTTGGGCCTCTGGGGGCCCTTCCCGAGCCTTGGTACTCAAGAAAACGATTAAGGATTATACCCGATGAGGAGGCGGCGGCGGAGGAGGCGGCGGAGGAGGAGGAGGAGGAGAAGGAGGAGGAGGAGGAAGAGGTGGGGGAGGAGGAGAGGAGGGGGGGGGAGGTAGGAGGGAGGAGGAAGGGGAGGAGAGAAGGAGGAAGGGAGAGGAGGGAGGAGGAGGAGAGGAGGGGAGGATGGAGGAGGAGGGAGGAAGGAGGAGTAGAGGAAGGAAGGAGGAGGACGAGGAGGAGGAGGCGGAGGCGGAGGGCCCCCATTGGCCTCGCGAGGGGCGCTCTCGAGGCCGTCGGCGCCTCCTCGGAGATCCTGGGGGGTCACCTCCGGCCGGCCAGCTGGCAACACCCGACACAAGGGGGCCCCGCGCAGGGACTCAGACGTCCTCCGATCCGACGTTTTTTTCATCCGCGGCCCCAGAGGCTCCGACCCCCTCCCCAGGGGTGGTCCTTCGTCCCAGCTCCACTCGGGAGTCCCGAAACGGTGCGGTGACGGACCGTGCGGTGACCTCGAGCCCCCCCGACCTCGCCGCACGGTCCGTCACCGCACGGTCTTGGGACCCTGGAGGCCCCCGTCGCCCGAGACATCCTCGGAGAAGGACTCGAGTCCCAAAACCGTGCGCGTTTACCCCAAATCCCCACCGACTCGCCCCACGGTGTGGTCACCGCCCCGTTTTGGGGGCCCCCGGATCCACGCTCTGGGCCCGACCACGGGCCCCGGAGGCCGACATCGAGGATGCGTCTGGCCGGACTGGAGCAGAGTCATGCCCCCGGAGATCTGGGGCGCGCAATACGCGCAAGGGCCGAAGGCTCCTTGGCAGGAGGCTGCTGCTCAGGAAGTGCCAGCCCTACACCTCTACAGACAAGGCCCGCGCCTTCCGAGAAGCAGGGGTGCTTCTGAAAAGCCGTCCCCTCTCTCCCCCTCTACGGTCGGACCTAAGACAAACGAACATCCTTCAAGAACATGAGACCCGCCGCTGGCCCAACCTAAAGAACATTCGAGGGCCCCCTCCCCCTGGGTGCGCAAGAACATCCCACGAGCACGAAGAACATAAGGGTACCCTCCCCGAGCCGACCTCGACCTTATACCTCGGTCCGACCGAACCCCCCT